ACATATAGAGTAAGCAACAGGATTTGCTGGGGATTTGGAGGGAGGTGGGTGTGGTAGTTATATAATTTCATGTCAACTTGAAAATATATAAAAGTGTAGGGGTGGTATTCAACCTGTCAATCATAAGGTGGGTTCTAGGAACCTCCTTCTCTTTACCTTCACCTTCCTGGTGGCTGACCCTGGTGGTGGCCAGAGGCCTGGAGATGCGTCCACTGCCATTGGATTCACAGACTTTCCACCTACCAGCTGGATGACATTCCTGCCTTTGGCATCATTGATTGTGACTGTGTGAGTTGGAAGAGGGACTTTGGGCTAGTTTTTGCAATACATAATTACTTCTTGATATAAAGCTATTTCTTACACATATATGAGTGTCACCGGCTTTGTTTCTCTAGTCAACTCGGCCGCACACAATGGAATTAGACGAAGTTGCCACTTTGCTTCTGGTTAAGAGAGAACAATTCTAAGTTTGGGATTCAAAGAAAAAAAGATGTGAAAGAATAGATGGGGCTACTGCATTTGGCAAGAAAACAATAGTAAGTGAATTTCAAATCATTTCCCAAAGCTAAAACCATCCATGTACAAAACCCTCTTTCCTTCTAAGCACAAAGCAGAAATGGGTCAAGCCCGTCATTACTAGCACGGCTATTTGTACTGTTGGCTGCTAAGATTCAACTTACCTTCCAGGAGTAATCATTTTGTATATCGGCATCAACTTCTTTTTGGCACACATCTTTCATAGCCTCACAGTGCTGTTTCCATAGGGACTCATTTTCTTTAACGATGTCATTCCATCTCTTGCACACCATTGTAGCTGTGCACAGACTCTGGGGGTCTAGCCAACCGAAAATGTGTAACATGATTTCTGGAGGCATACATTCAATATAGCTCTTTTGATTCTCTTTTTCCTCAGCAGCCCCACAGTTCACATTTATAACGGAAACCCTCGCGCCACTGTTGTTCCTGGAGTTCCGGGGCATAGCTTGCTGCTTTAGAAAACGCTTCTCATATGTAACCTACAAGGGCCAAATGGAAACATGTTCAGTCCTTCAGTTCAACCTGCAGCAGCTACTTTTAACCAGATACGTTTGTGTTCAAACGGCTACTGGTGGTTTGATGTACAGAA